GATAGATTGATAAAACAATAACGTTAGGGTATGTTCATGTAACGATATGACTATGATAGGTATAAGAATGTTAAGGCTATGATAAGTTAAGGAACGATATGGCCACGAAGTGTTTACGATATGATATGATTATGATATGACATGTGAATGATGCATGTATATATGTTGTGATATGATATGAAAACGATATGAAATATGTTATGGTATGATATGTATATGATGAAAATTATTCTGTCTGGAAGCATGAAATGTTATGATATGATATGTTTATGCAATTTGAATGATATGATATGATATGATTGACATCCAAAACGACGAACTAGCATGAAATACAACCCTAGAGTATGCATAAAAGATATGAAAAATGATATGAGATGTACGGAACGCTAGCGGGGTGGTATTAAATGATAATGAAAATGAAAAAAAATGTTGGGACTTCATGCATTATTGTGTGCTCATGCATTGGGGATACCCTTTAGCCTTCACGATAGTACGAAGGTGTACTTACGAGGCAGGAATACGATCATTATGGTTATCATAATGCTGCGATGACCGAGCAGGAATAAGATCATTATGTTTATCATAATGTTGTGACGGTCAAGCACGGATACGATCATTATGGTTGACCTAAGGTTGTCATGACAGTTACTAGTTCTAATGGGTGTCTGGCTTAAGGAGTTCCCAGAGTATGCTCGCCTGACAAGGAAGGTGGCCCAGCGGTTTGTGAACTGACTGGTGAGTCCATACTCGCATGTATGGGCTGTGTGTAGAGTATATAGTACACATCCAAATTACCCATTATGACATACCGTAGGAAAATAGATTTAAATGATAGGTCCCGTCATTGCATTCATATGTTCTTGCATTTAACCTCAATAGTGAGGTCACTTAATGAGTATTTCCTTGGATGGTTTGAATATTAAGGGTACAAGAAAAAAATGTTAATATTCTATAAATTACATTAAAATTTTAAGTATTATTGCAATAGACCAAGAAAGATTCCTTGAATTTAGAAATCTTTAATTTGGTTCGAATTTAATGAGTAAATCGACACCGGACTATGTGCTAGCAAGGAGGCTGTTCTCCAAAGGGGGTAGATGGAGATGCTGGCCCCAAAGGGAGGTGGATTTGGCAGAGTCCCACATCGATTGGAGAAAAGAAAGAGTGTCAGTAAGGACGTTGGGCCCATAAGGAGGTGGACTGTGATGTCCCACATTGGTTGGGGAGGAGAACATGAAAGGAAGCCCAAAAGGGAAAGCTCAAAGAGAACAATATCTGCTAGTAGTGGACCTGGGCTGTTACAGGATGATATCGTAATAATTTTTCTAAGAAACAAGTGAGATATATTGAAAGAACTCGTGTGGTCGGGGGAACTAGTTTCCACTCTTAGAAGCAATAAGTAGGTAACATGGTTATAGCGCATGGGAATACGAGAAAATGTTGGGATTATTAAATCTGAATCCGAACTCCAAATCTTGAACTAAATCGTGTTGGGAATGAATTTAGGACGGATGATCTAAGAATTTGAGGGAGAAGTTTCACATTGAAGAAGAAGGTAAGGAGTAGGTTTGGGAAAGAAGATGATAACGATGACGATGACAATGATGATAAAAGTGGGTGATGGTGGTCACCGACCATCACGAAAGATAGCAAGGGTAGCTTTAGCTATATCGGAGAACGTATGTTATTTTTTAAAAAAATTATTATTATCATTATTTTACTATTTAAAAATTGCCACGCAACTTTCGTGAATTATTTAACCAATTATACTAACAAATGTCCCAAAATTGAGCATTTTCTAAACGCTCGTGACTAAGTTGTTCAATTTTGTGCAACAGCCCAAATCCATCGCTCTCACCACTAGTCGATATTTGTCTTTTTTGTATTGTCCCTTTCGGGGCTTCCTCGTTTTAAAACGTCATACCTTTATAAATATGTTTCGTTATTGCTCTGTAATGCTAATAGAACATTTTAATTCTTAAAATTTAATAAATAATAATTTAGTTTTTGTATTTTATCATTTGTAATTATTTAATTCCTATATTAAAAAAATTATTAAAATTATGCGAATATTTAGTATTAAATTATAGGTTACCAATCATATTTAATATTTTATTATAAAACAAATATTTAAATATTACCTTCTTACCATATATATATTTTTTATTTACTGTTATATCTATTTATTACTCTTTTCATATCCTTATAATTTATTTAATTATAAATAGATAACTTTCAATCATTTAGGTGGGGTGGTTTAAACAAATATTCTCATATGGATATGGTTATGACAGAAAGAATATTTTAAAGTTTAAAACATTTATTGTATTTTTTCTTAAAAAAAACGAAAAATAGAATTGGAATCGAATGTGTGTTTCTCATTGATATTCATAAAATTGGATATAAGCTATCAACTAATACATACGAATAAGGAACCATTAATATCTACATAAATATAAACTAATTAAATATTGAGAATAAAATAAAATATTACTACCAATCTATTAATATATATTCAATAACTAATATATTATTTAAATATATCTTAACAAAAAAAATATTTAAGAACTTAAAAAAAAATTAAATTAATTTTATTTATTTATTAATTAATATTATTATTAAAAAATGTTATTATTATTATGAAATCTTCAAATCTTCGTGGGAAGCACTTCTAGGAGAGATCTGAAAAAAAAAATAGAAAATAAATAAATAATTTCAAATGTGGACAACGAGAAAAATAAAAAAATAAAAAAAAAATGTAGATCTAGCTGACGTGGATTGAGATTTGAGAGAGAGAAAAAATGGGACCACATATAGTTGGTGCGGAAGACGTGAGAACACAATCCACGTGTTCAATAAATATAATGATGCAAAAACCTATAATTTAATAATTTTAATTTAATTATAAATTTATTTGAGTTACTTCGAGTTGAAATATATGATAAAAAATATACCTATTTAATTTCATAACTAGTTTAAAGAATAATTTTTTAAATATATATGGAAATTGATATAATTTATTTTTTAATATAATTCTATATTTTAAAATTTTAAAATAAAAATGTTGTTTTGGAAGTTTCCCTATTTTTATGAAAGCATTTTTTAAAGTTATAAATTATAAATTAATATATAAACGTGTAGGTTTGTGTCTATTTGTAAGTCAAGTGTGGAATGACTCAATTTAGAACAGTATGTAATAGCCTGAACCCTTCGCTACTAGTATTGTTCGTTTTGACCCCTCTAGTGGGGTTTAGTGTCTTTGTTGGCACACTGCCCAGTGTCTAACCCTTATACCATTTGTAATAGTCTAAGTCTACCGCTAGTAGATATTTTCTCCAACCAATGTGGAATCTCATAATCCACCTCTTTTGGAAGCCCAACATCCTCGCTAATACATTGTCTGGTGTCTAACTTTGATACCATTTGTAACAGTCCAAACTCACCGCTAGTAAATATTCTCTTCAACCAATGTGGGATCTCATAATCTACCTCTCTTAGGGGACCAACGTCCTCGTTGATACATTATCCAATGTTTGACTTTGATGCCATTTGTAACAGTCCAAGCCCACTGCTAGTAGATATTCTCTCTAACCAATGTGAGATCTCATAATTCACCTCTCTTGGGGACCTAACATTCTCGTTGTTACACCGTTCGGTGTCTGACTTTGATACCATTTGTAACAACTCAAGTACACAACTACCAGATATTGTCTGCTTCGGCCCCTCCCTTTCATTGACATACCGCTTAGTGTCTAGCTCTGATATCGTTTGTAATAACCCAAGCCCACTGTAATAGATATTCTCTCCAACGAGTGTGGAATCTCACACAATATCAAATCTTACTTCTAGATCTTCGATCTTAAGACGAAATCAATTTTGTCTATCTCTTGGTTGATCCAAATTTATGAAGGGAGATATTAATTTATTTGATTTGAAAATAGAAACGCTAATTAATTTTTTTAAAAAAAATTAATTATAAAAATCTATTAATATTAAATTTATAACCAGAAAATACCTAATAATAAATAAGTATAAAAACGGTTGTGAAGGTAGTTTCTAGGTGGGAGCCAGCTGATTAGGGTGTGGCATTAATTAATAACATAAAATAAATACAAAATATACACCGACTTTTTATTCTTCACTGCCCTAATAAATAACTTGGCCTTCCAACCATATATGACGTGTCAACATTTCATTGGCTGCCATTACTCCTCCTCATTTAATTTTTGTAATAAATCTGCTCAACTGCTTCTTAAATACCATTTCACCCTTTGTCAAATTACCATTTTATCCCTACCTCTCCCTGTTATGGTCGGTTTTGATTTGTTTTGTGGTCAGTTTCATGGTTTTAAAACGCGTCTACTAGAAAAAAGTTTCTATACACTTGTACGAAATGTTTCGTTCCCCTTTCCAACCGATGTGAGATCTCACAATCCACCCCCTTTGAAGGCCCAACGTCTTCATTGGCACGGTGCCTGACTCTAATACCATATTTTCAACCCAAGCTCACCACTAGCAGATATTGTCTACTTTGGTTCGTTACATATCGTCGTCAGCCTCATGGCTTTCAAATGCGTCTACTAATGAGAGATTTGCACACTGTTATAAAGAATGTTTCGTCCTGCTCTCCAACCGAGGTGAGATCTCACCATCCACCCCTGTTCAATGTCTGACTCTGATATCATCTGTAACGGCCTAAGGTCAACACTAGCAAATATTGTCTATTTTGACTCATTACGTATCACTTTCAGTTTTACAATTTTAAAACACGTATATTAAGTAGAAGTTTCTAGGCTCTTCTAAATAAATACTTTCTTTAAAAAGAAAAAATAAATATTTTTCAAATGTCTATGGAGAGGTGCTTTAGCGGATCAACCACCCCATGCCTCCAAGTGGGGTCCATTCCACACCTACTCATGTGAATTCCGCCAATGGCATTTTCGTAATTTTGACAAAAAAAGGGCAAAAGAGAAAGCAAGGGACTATAAGAATCCCAGTTGAAATTCAAGGGAAAATAAAAGGAAAATGTCTGTAGCGACGGAGGAAATCAAAGCCAAAGGGGCCGAAGTCTACAAAGGAGACGAGATTTGCCAAGAGAAATCCAAGGAATTGCTGAAGGAAATCGGTCTTCCAAATGGTCTTCTGCCATTGAAAGACATAGAAGAATGTGGGATCGTGAGAGAAACAGGGTATGTGTGGCTGAAGCAGAAGAAGAACACGACCCACAAGTTCGAGAAGATCGGGAAGCTGGTGTCGTATGCGACGGAGGTCACGGCAGTTGTGGAGAAGAACAGGATCAAGAAACTCACCGGAGTTAAGACCAAGGAGCTTCTGATTTGGGTGAGTTTGAGTGATATCTATGTGGATGATCCGCCCACCGGAAAGATCACGTTTCAGACTCCGGCGGGGCTGTTTAGGACTTTTCCGGTGTCGGCGTTTCAGGTTGAGGAGGCGTTAAAGCAGGTGAGTGAAAAGGAACATGGGGTGGGCGCTGTCGGAGTCAAGGAGGTCTGATCTGTATGTCTTATGGTTTTATATAATGAAATGAATGTTTTAATAGCTAATAAATCATGTGTTGTAGCTCGAGAATTTGGTTTACTGGTCTGTCTGGATTTGGGATGATCCCATTCATGTTTTTTTTTAATGGTGCACCACTATGGTGCCTTGATCTCTCTGTTTTTAGCTGTTATATGTGTTTTTGAGGGGTTAGGAGAAGGCTCGAGAGGAGTCAAGCCTTGAGGGGCGGTTATTCGAGAGGTCTAGAGAAGGAGGCCTCAAGGGAGCCTCTATAGTGTACTTTGTTCGACGGGAGGATTGTTAAGGATTATTGAGAGAAGTTATCCTCTGTCTCTTCATCTCTGTCTCGATATAGCTTCTGTGTCCTTAATAATGCATTTTCATTGAAAATTGTTTCAGTTGGAGAAGGGAATGAAACATTTCTTATAAGGATGTGTAAAATCGTGAGGTTAGTGGCAATACGTAACGGCAAAAAACGAGCAATATTTCCTAGGGTGCTACAAATGATATCAGAACAAATATCGGGCGGTATACCAATGAGGACGTTGGGCCTCCAAGGGGTGGATTGTGAGATCCTATATTAGTTGAAGAGGGGAATGAAACATAACTTATACAGGTTTTGAAACCTCTCCCTAATGGTTCTGTTTTAAAACTATGAGGTTGACGGAGGTACGTAATGAGACAAAATGAATAATATATACTAGTGGTAAACTTAGGCTATTACAAATGGTATCAAATCACTGGTGGTGTTCTAGTGAGCATGTTGGGCTCTCAAGAGGGTGTTATGTGAGATTCTATATCGGTTGGAGAGGGGAACGAAACATTCTTACGGGTGTGAAAACTTGTAGCTGCGTTTTAAAATTGTGAGGTTGACAGCGATGCGTAACGGGAAAAAACGTATAATATTTGCAAACGGTGAACTTAGACTATGAAAAATTGTATTAAAGCAGATATTCGGTGGTGTACTAGCGAGAATGGAAAAGAGAAGATGGGACCTAACTTTTAGGGTCGAGAAACGTAATAATCACATGCAATCATGGTTTATGATGGGACCTAACTTTTTGTGAAGATTCCTGGAGCCGACTTTCTTTTCTAGGTAGGGTTGGATGCATAGTACTTCTCTCTACATGGTTCACACACGTTCGCATGAATCCACTAGGTGGGTTCATATACGAAGTCTATAAGCGTGACTACGGGCTAACACATGCTCACGTTGTCGTAAACCCATGGAAAGAAAGGAACTTGTATCATATCATGGTGTACGTGTCCATACAAAACATATTGGAGAAGTATCCTAGGCTCGCAACATGCCATATGCATAAGATCCTGTATTTTCGAATAATGGTATATAGTTATGATGAACATCTTACTTCCATTCTTTTCATGACATTACTTTCCTACGAGACATACTTACATGTACATGGCATATTTTTCTTTATTATCGTACATGTCTCATCAATGTCTCGTAGGCGTAATGTAAACATGATATCACGTGGATTGACATACTGGAAGTACGGCTGCGGAATATTGGCTAAATAGCTACCTTAATGACCTTAAATTCTTCCAATTATGTCAAAATCGGCTCCTTGGTGCAATGCTGTAAGAAATCTTAAATAGAGCTACCTAAGCCATCAAAGTTGAATTGGAGCCGAACCCATCCCGAGCAGGGAGGGGATTTCCCATTTAGACGGGAATGGAGGATGAAGTGGAGAACAATTTTTTCTATAAAATGGGACCGTAAACTTTGTCCTGTTCTCATCCGGTATTTTTTTTATATTTTTTTATTATATTAAAAAAAATTAATTAGTTTTGAGACTCTTATTTTTTAAAATTCAACTATATATATATATATATATATATATATATATATTTTAAATAATACTTTTAATTTTTTTAAAAGATTTTATTAATGAAAAGTATAAAATTTAAAATATTTTTATACATTTAGTCTTTTATCCTTTTAAACATCCGAAATTTCTATTATTCTAAACCCTATTTCACGTCCCGCCACACTACCCTCCCATTACCAGCCACTGCACCCCGCCCACACGGTCGCTTCACTCCGCTCCTGCCCGACGACGTCTCAGCGGTTGCCGCCGCACGCCGCACTCTCAACTGTTGCAGTCTCAGTATTCCGTCGAACTTGCCGTTGCTTCCTCCCTCTCATACTCTCTCGCCTCTCCGAGCAACCAGAGTTACTCATCTCTGTTGTTTTTTCCCCCCCACTGAAACAGTTGTTCAGCCACTAACCCTCGCCGTGGGTGAGTTCGTGCCGACCCTTACGCGCGCTGCCGCTCAATTTTCAGATACTTGGGTATTGATTTTTTGTTTGATTCTTTATTTTGTTTCGTTGGTTTATGTTGACTTGTTTGGTTTCGTTGTTGATTTCTTCTTCAACCAATGTTGAACTAAGAACGTATGCATTACAGAGTAGAGAAAGAACAGATTGAATAACTAAATTTGAAGGAACAAAAAGACGTATTATTCTTCATCTGAATCAATAAAAAAAAAAAAAAAGGAGAAACAAAAAAGAAAGGAAGGGTTTAAAAAAGGATATCTTATGAGATAAAATTGAAAATAATTCGTTAGTTTAAAATCCTTCCTTCCAAGTCCGACCAATTTGGAATAGATTTTTTTTTTTTTTTTTTTATTAAAAAAGAAGAAGATTTCAATCACTATTTATTTTTTGTTAACCTCCATTACTTGATTTTATGTGTAGTATCTCTGAAGGGGTGACATTCTCAATGGTGAAGAAGAGGAAGCATAGCGAGACTTTGCCGGCAGTATCGGTTAAGAAGGATGATGTTGCCCCTGAGAGATCCAAGCGGACGCTCACGGGTTGGAAAGACAAAGAAGTCACAACAAAGAGTGAATCTGATTCTGATCATGCTGTTTTTCGAAATAAAGAGAAAGTTCTTGTCACTTGTTCCCGGCGAATCAATTTTAGGTATGAAATATAGACAGGTCAATTTGACTTGCATACTTACATATGGAACATGAACACTTGAATCAATTGGGCTGCTGATAGTTTACATATTTTTATAAGAAACAAAAAATTCTTATATCATTTTGTCTTCTGGTACAAGGTGTCAGGGTGTTTTTAAATGATCTATAAATATAATCTTTAATTCAATTGTTAATTTAATCATATGATTGGTGAAGTTGAAGAAAGGAAGAAGTGTTTATTGTAATTGTACTTTGTATTATACTGTTCTGGTGCTCTTTAAGTCGAGTATTGATTTCCCTGCAAGAAGAACATGGTTCAAACGCAATGTGGAGTAGGTTTAAGAGGAAAACCAAGAACTATTTTGATGAATGCTGTCATAGCTTTTCATGGGCTATGTGATTAGAAAGAAATAGTGATATTGATTGACTGCCTCCATTATGTTTTTGCTAGCAAATCCCACTATTTTTTGTTTTAGATCTTCCAAATCATTCTCGGGGGAAGTCTGTACCCATTTTTTTTTTTAATCCTTTGATAAAACAATTCATTCTCTTCATAAAAAATAGGAGGTAGAACCAATAAATATTTCTTTTCGATTCATCCCTCGAGTTGAATACCTCATTCAAAAATTGTTTTTGATCTTTCCTTTCGGTGTTTACTCTCTACACCTTTCTGTTATTACATCATTTTAGTTGAAATACGTTGGTGTAGCTTTTTGTAAAATCTTTTAAGAGGTATATACAGGGTCAGTTAGTTAGTGATTCAACATTTCACTCAGCATTAGAAAGTAGTGATAGTAACTTTTCACTCATCATTAAAAAGTTTTTCTTCCTTGAGAGTCGTGGCGATTTTATTTAACCTTTGTGATTGATTAGGTATCGGCACTTGATGTTGAATATGGTATCACTTTTGCCACATTGTAAGAAGGATAACAAGGTGGAGTCAAGGTCCACCAAGGGTGCAACACTGAATGAGCTGGTTGAGCTCAAGGGTTGTTCTTCCAGCCTATTTTTTGAGGTTAGAACTTTTTATTTGCACCTTGTCCATGTCAAACTTGGAATTCAATTCATAATCGGGAATTTGTTTGATACAAGATAGGATGATAAATTTTTGGCTTCTGTTGTGGTGTAAGGATGCATTAAATTTCCATTTCTTTTCGTTCTATTATCATTCTTCCTGCCTTTTCATCATGTTTTTCCACTCGTTCTGTAACAATAACTTTGAATTAATTATTTCGTTCTTGATTTGGAAGGGTCTTTTTGTCCCCTGGATTTTGATCCTGCAAAGTTGAATTAATTGTTTTATTTCCAAAGCTTATTGCAAGATTTTTTAGTTCTTTTTCTTTCTGTTGTTATTATTTCTAACATTTTACATGCTATATAGCATTCACATGAGTTTACTTTTGATCTTTTTGTCTATACTTCCAGTGTAGAAAACATAAAGATCTCTATTTATGGATGGCAAAGTGCCCTAGTGGACCATCTGTGAAGTTTTTAGTTAATGCTGGTAATTTTAATGTGCAATCAAATCTTATTACTCGATTTCATGGCTGAAGTTATATTGGATTTCTTAATTAAATACAGTTTGCTTACTTTTCCATTGTTTTTTTTTCAGTGCATACAATGGAAGAACTGAAGCTTACAGGGAACCATCTGAAAGGTTCCCGTCCGATTTTGACATTCTCATCAAATTTTGATAAAGATGCCCACTGGAAACTTCTGAAGGAAATAATTGTTCAGGTAGCAATGGAAAAGTTTGTTCAAGTAATTCAATTTTGAACTATTTTCATTTTTTTGAAAAAGAAAACGTATTTCATTGTTGTATGAAATGGGAAAAGGAGTAAAAAACTTGAAACATGAAAAGGTGGATTATAAGAAACTTCTCCAATTTGTAAGGAGTAAAGGCTATAAACTCTAAATGGATATTTAAATTTGCACCTTAATAAGCACAAACATGGGCGCGATGATACATCAATTTTTTAAAAAAAGTAGGACTGACACATGGGTGGCATAATTTTTTTTATATAAAATGTGTATGTTTAGAATGCCCTCTAAGGTTGGGAATGGGCCATGTACAAACAGTTTCTGTGGGATAATTAATAATATTTAGCCTTAATAAGCTTATAGTCTCTGCATATGAACAGCCAAAACCATTTCAATGGTTAACCACAAGTTGTTCCT